TGCTTATATGATTTTAAATTTTGAATTGTTTAATAGCAACTTTACTTACCAAGAATAAATATTAGATTGATCTTCTTGAAATGGAGCATAATTTTCTTCAAAACCAATTACTTATATCGATATTTTTTATCGTTAGAGATATACCACATCAAGTTATATTGAGTTAATTTCTTTACAATATCAATTACACAATTCAAAATAATAAAAAAATACTTTACTTTTAAATTGAATTTTTCTTCAATATATTTCCTTTTTTTGTTTCATCAATCATTTAAGTTACTGAATTACTTGCTATTTCTTCAGTTAGTTTGTGTTTTAATTGACTATCAGTAAGACAGTCTTCTAGTATTATCGTAATTATAAATAAAATAAAATATATTATTTGTATCATTAATTTACGCTTAGTTTAACTTTTCTAATAAAGTTAGTTTCTTCCATTGTGTAATGAAATTTTTTAAACAGGTTTTTTTTCAATATAATTTTTATTTCAAACTCTTTTTTGATTAATGACATATTTTTTAAAAAACAAAATAAATTTTCACACAAATAAATTATATATTAAAGAGAAATAAAATTAAGATCCTATTAAATTTTTATTATTACTCAATTTAGTTCACACGACAATTAGTTTTAACACAAAAAAGTAATTTTTTGGGTAAATATTAAAACACATTTAATATATATATTTATACATATTCATAATTCTGTATTGAATTAAATTTCATTTTTCAGATCGATTAATAAACATAATTTGTGACAGTGACATTGAATATTGTAGAATAATGAATGAAACTACACGACAAAATCATTCTCGAGCAATTCAACATACAATTGACTTGTACATTAATAATTTACAAGAGTCCTTGAGAAATGGAAGGTACTTATATAATTTGTTAATTTATTCAATCATTTTATATTAAATTTAAATAATTTGTTATAATATCAATTTACATATAGGATGACATTGTCAGAATATTTGTAGGCAGTAGTTGAACGCACAAATATTCGACGGGAGCTGAGACAACGTGGCTCATAATTTGGAAGTGTAGAAAACCAAAGTTAAAGAGATACCAGCAAATGTAAATTTTCTTAAATATAAATAAAAGTTATACTTATAACTTCAGGAATGATTTTTCAATTCTTTAATTGACCCTGATTATTTTATTTTAAAATAATTGAATTGAGTAGTGATTTATATTAAAATTTATTAATAAATTTATATTCATATTATATTTATATTTAAATTCAGTTAAATTAAGGTATTCATTAAAAATACTGATTTATTTTTATAAAAACTTAAGTAATAAAACTTTTTTTTTTCGTTGCACGAAAATCGTTTATGTTTATTAAAGAAGAGAATAATACTGACAGACATTATTTTTGAAGTTTTTCAACTTTTTAATAATTCAGTTTTCAAATTTTTTTCACTTGGATTACGTTATTACGCTAACATTAAGATGAAAATGTTATTATCATTAGATTATAAGCCTAAATATACTTATTTATGTAGTGGGAATTACATGACATTACATGAGCCAGAAAGAAGACTTTTTTTTGTATAAGCATTTTTAAGGCTGGGCTGAAGTCAGAAAGTTTCCCGGAGTTGACTTTACGCCCTCGCGTTGTGCGGCAAAAGGCCGAAGCTTGACATCAACTGAAATTGAGTAGGTAACAGGGAAATCGTTCGAAAAATGATAATTTTCAGGGATGCACTACAAAAAGGGAGCCTTAGGGCACCAAGAAATTTACAAATTTTTGAATAATCTGTTTCGAGCAAGACAGAGCACAGAATATATCTATCTATCTCCGTCTTATTTTTCAGAGAAGACTGCGAGTTCGAACAGTTGACGAGCAAGCACATCCCCCACCCTCTGTTACCAAGCCTGAAGCTTATGATATCTAAACGTAAACAAAGCAAATGAAAATATGTTGGCTCTGTAGTCAGAAGATTCGACATTTATTTTACCGAACGGTGTTCGATTCCAATTGCGGAAAATTTTTTTTTTTTAATTCAAATTGCATGTAATTGCAATTTTATCATGCCGAAAATGAGTTTTAAATTTCAATTTTTATGTAAAATTATTTTTCAATCAATCGATGACAAATGAGACAATATTTGAACAGGGTCATTAACCTTTTTTTGTACAAATACATTGATAATAGCCTTTTTTAACAACTTATTAACAATAAAAAATAGTTTAAACAATCCGCGGCAAGTTCCGACACTTCACCGGCAAGCTCTACCCCTACTCTCTGTGCCCAAGCCTGCAGCTTATAATTTTCAAGCATCTTCACTATTATTGAAACCATAATAGCTCAGTGGTTAGAGCACCAATCTTTTATTTTGCTGGGCAGGGTTCGATCCCAGTCATAGGCAATTGTTTTTTCTTTTTTTTGCTTAAGTGACTTTAAATACTCATAAATTAATTCATATATTTGATTAAATTATTCTTCCAATTAATTACGGAAAACAACTTGTTTTTCTGAGAATAAGCTGAGGGTGAGGAACGAGTTACTATGAATTCTCTTTTTTCGAAAGTGTTGTCTTTAAAAGACAATAGGAATTGATTTTGAACTTATATAAACAACCAATTATTGTATTTATATAAAATTTTAATGAAAAAAAAAGGAAAAAAAAAATTGGCTATGACTGGGATCGAACCCTAATCGGTAAAATGAAAGCTTGGTGGTCTACTCACAGAGCTAACACATCATCTCTGACATTATGTTTATGTTTATGAATTGTATAATGCAGGCTTGAGTACGAAGGGTAGGGATAGAGTTTGCCGGCAAAGTGCCGGAAATCCCCGTGGATTATTTCAACTACTTCTAAATATTTCTAAATTGCTTAAAAAAAAGCTACGTTCATATAGCTATAGTAAAAAAAGTGTTTATAACCCTGTTCATATGTTTTCGTCATGCCTGCGCGGAAAGTTCACTTTTCCATTGGAGAGGGGTTGAACTTTCCACTCAGGTATGACGAAAAATTATATTCAGCCCTAAGGAGGACAATTAGACAAGCTTAAACCACGTGTTTACCCCCCTCGCCTTCGGCTCGGGTTGTAATTTTACACGTGGTTTGAGCTAGTCTACTTTTCCTCCCTAGGTGTGAAATATACTATTTCCGACTCGGCGTCGATAAATTACATAAATAATTGAGAAAAAAAAAATCAAATCGTTGTAAACAATTACTTTTGGCATGTTAATATTATAATTACATGCAAATCTAACAAATAAAAGAGAAAAAAAAAACTTTATCATGACTGGAATCGAACCCTGCCTAGCAAAATAAAAGACCGATGCTGTAACCATTGAGCTGTTATGGTTTCAATACGCTTAAAAATTATAAGCTGCAGGCTTGGGCACAGAGAGTGGGGGTAGAACTTGCCGGGAAAGTGCCGAAACTCGCCACAGATTGTTTAAACTACTTTTCAATGTTAATAATAATATGATTAACTTGTTAATAACATAACATTGTTAATACATGTAAAGATGTATAAGTTGTTAAACACAGGCTATTATCAATGTATTTATACAAAAAGAAAGTTTATGGCTCTGTTCAAATATTTTTCGACTTAGCGTCAATAAATTCAATGAATAAAGAGAAAAAAAAATCAAATTGTTATAAAAGATTAATTATAGCATGTCAATATTATAATTACATGCTAATCTAACGAATAAAGTAGAAAAAAAAAAATTGGTTATGACTGGGATCGAACCCTGCCCGGCAAAATAGAACTCTGACGCCCTAACCACATGGCCAGCATAATCTCGATATTGAGTTAATGTATATTTGTTTTTACACTACATGCTTGGATACGCCGACTTGGAATTGAGCTTCCTTATTAACATTTATACCTAATAAAAATGATAATAATGGATGAGTATATGTATTTGAAGTTATTTGCAGGTATTATATTAATTAATGTTAAATGAGTATCATCATTTTTATTTATCCTAACTGCAATAGTCATCAAAGTGTAGGGCATTGTAAAGTGATACACTATGTTTACATCACATACATATATTACCCGTACACACACATACAGAATTTACTCGCCAAAATGCAGGGCACCATCAGTTCTGGATACGGATTGAGCATTTTTTCAATATGGATGACTGAGGTCATCTGCGAGCATAATGCTGTCACCTATCAGAATTTTTTCAAACTAATTTTCCGGAGAATATCATCTGGAATACAAGATTTCTAATTATTTCTAAATTATTCAATTTTACACTATGAATTGATTTTTTTAACATTCAGACAGGTGGCAAGGACTGACGCAAACACGAATTTTGGGCGAAAAACGTATAAAAATGAAATAATTAGTGATTTTTCATCTGAATGATGTGGCCGCCATCTTGAAATTTAAGCGCGGCAAGTCAATTCATAATTTTTTCATTATTCTTTCTAATTTTTTTAATAAAAATATTCACTATATACAAAAAATTGTTGTTTACGTCAGTCCGGCATTAATTCCTCTGTAATTTGGTACCTAATTTTATAGAAATAATTGTAAATTGGCGAAGAAATTAGAAATTCCCCGATCCCATGTATTTGGATAGGGGGAATCAGTCGCCTTTCTGACTTCAGCCCAGCCTTAATTTTTGATTGAAAACAGTGTAATTACTGTCATCTATTAGAAAACAGTGACACTAGTTGAATTTTTTTTCTACTATACCGACGCAAGATAACTTACCAGTCCTAATTTCTTAAGTTGACTGTTCAACGAAATGATAAACATTAAAAAAGAAAAATTTTTATAATTTGATTGAATATTAAATGATTGAAAATAAAAAAAACCAATTTTAAAAGATTAAAAGAATAAAGCTTATTTTTAAAATGATCATTAGATAAAAAATCTGGGCATCATAGAATTTGATTAACAATCAGTAAGATTATACATTTAAAGATTCAAATTTAAAAGATTGTAAAAATGCCTTTGACTGACAACTTATTGGGGACGGATGTCACGCTCCCGATATATGTATGTATCATCCTCTCTGTATCATCTGAAGATGTAATACATGAAACGCTCGTGGTAGATAAAAACTTTAATTAAAGGGGAAGAATTGTTAATGTAATTATAAACAATAATAAAATGTTTTAAAATAAATAAGCAACAAAAATTTATTAGTTTAATGATTATTCTAAATAACAAAATCTCTTTTTTATATCAATTGGAGTAAAACATGTGACGTTTGGAATGGAGTAAAACATAGATTCCAAAATGGAGCGATTTCATTTACATGTGAATGATAAAAAAAATTCTTTGGATAAAGAACGTAAATAAAAATAGAAAATTTAATGAAAAATCAAAATTTTAAAAGTGATGGAATAAAGTTCAAAGGTAAAGTTATTATTATTCAGTGATTACTTCCATTACAATGGCTTATGTTGATACACATTCTTTGACGTACTACTCTGTAAAAAGTGAAACGTTATATTTATAATTATTCCAGTACTAAATAATTCGAAGACAAACAGTTTTTTAAAACAATGAAAATTTTTGATACAATATTTGTATGCATTATAGTATCATGATTGTAATAATGATAATTTTCTTAGATTTGTCAATTTATATCATATATATGAATTCTAAAACAATGAACTCATGATCAATAAACTCGTTCAAAATCTCACTTTCGTCAACGTAATATTTTTACTTCAATTATAAGTATGTAGTCATATATGACTACGTACAGTAAACTTCCAATAAATATGACAAAAAGAAATTTAATAGAAAAAAAATAATATTCAACACTTATTATATTTTTTTCCATTCTCTCTAATCTTCAAGATGTATCAAAATCAATATAATTACTCAATTGACTTGTCCTTGTCAAGCATACATTGTACGTTTAATCAGCTTATTTCCATACAAGCTTTAAGCTTTAATAAGCCACATTAACTCTGTAACCAAAATACAATTTATAAGTCAATCAAGAAACTAAACTCATTTATGATTTTCTTTCGAATCAAATATAATTTTCATTTTACCATTGTCCACTAATATAACGCGTTTTTTTTAATACAGAAATTATTTTTTTTTTTCTTAACTTTACTATCACATTTCTCTAATTTCTTCATCAGTACTGGTATAATGACATTTTCGTAATCATTAAAATTATCATACTTTTTGTGTAAATGATTTGTGAAATTTGTATTTAATATTTCTTGGTTACAAATTAAAAATTTAACCTTTTTATTCTTCTGTAAATATCTTCTTCGAATAAATTTTACGACGCTTTTATCTGATAACAGATCTTTTTTATTGTTAGTAATTAGTAAATATTGACAGCCTTTATGAATTAATGATTTATTAGTATAATATTACGATTCTACGTTTCTACTGAAAAATAAATCCTTATGGATTGACGAAGACGATTTAAAGAAGCTATGGGATTATCTCGATGAAGAAAAAATAAATACCTATCATTTTCTAGCAGTTGCTGTAGATATAATCAGGGACATAATAAATAATTATATTCATAATGATCTTCCATCAGATGTGAACTTTAAGGTAATGAAACTGAATTCAAATGAAACAGGTGAATATAATTTTAAAAATAATAATCAAAATAATAAATAAAGAAACAAAAATAATATTAAAGGAGGATAAAAATTGCAATAATAATAATAATTTCAGATGTAGTTTTGCCAGTATGTCACCAACATGTGTCAAATGATTTGATATTCAAAATTTTGCTGCCACAACAAGTTGATGATCTTATTCAGAAGAAAAAAAAGAAACCCTCTATATGTGTAACTTGCAATTCAAATATTGCAAAAATGAAGTTCCTACCATGCTACCACATTGTTTACTGTCGAAGTTGCTGTGCGTTAGCAGAAGCATGAGAATGATGACTTCAGGTGTCCACTCTGTCGAAGAGTAATAACTGAGACGATTTTACGGCGTTAAATTTTATTATAATGATAATTTTCACATTATTCAGTTTGAAGATTATTACGTTTTATCTTAAATTAATAACTATGTTTTATGAATAAAATATGAATAATAAACATTACATTTCAGAAATATAAATGAAAGAAAAACAATATAATCAGACATTTAAAAATATATTAATATTGTTCATTTTAAAATGTATTATCTTTTCTGTATGATTTAGAAAACTTCGTAAGCAGACATTCAAGAATATTTAAATATAATGAATTTTGAATAAATTTATGTCCTTTTTTATTTCAGCAGATTTTAAATTTTCAAAATAATTGCCGCATGCAACTTACTCCATCTTTTATTCAAAGATTGAAAACGCACTTTAAATTTTCCATTGATACGTCCTTCTACAATGCTATTTTTGTATCTACAGTACCGGACATAAATGCTGTTTAATTTTTTGAAGGTTATACATGCAATTTCCCTATACTGTCCTATAGAAAATCACACAGCATTTATGTCCGGTACTGTATGATTTCAGGCAACCAATCTGACAAAAAGAATACTATCTAGTTTTTTGCACAATGTCGCCGACCCCATCCCTGAAAATTATCATTTTTCGAACGATTTCCCTGTTACCTACTCAATTTCAATTGATGTCGAGCTTCGGCCTTCTACCGCACAACGCGAGGGCGTAAAGTCAACTTCGGGGAAATTTTCTGACTTTAGCCCAGCCTTAAGTTTTTGGTTGTGTGAATGGTTTTTAATTGTACATTTTACAGCTTAAGTATTTGACTATGTGAACGGTTTGAAACTTTCTTTAAGTCTCTAAACAGATTTGCTTTCTGATATTGTTGTTTCATTATCAAATGCTGATATTAGTTTCTTCAATCTAGGCATAACTTCAACCTTATAATCTTTACGTTGGGCTCTGTTAAAAAAATATAATTTGAAAATAATTTATTATACGGATGGAAATTCTGAAAAATTTTTGTCAATTACCATCAAGGTCGTTACATCAGGATGGAAGAGACTTCAATTTTAAAAAAATTTCTTTCGATCGAAATCAAGAACGAATAATTGCCTATGACATCGAAGGAGTTAGTTATTTAGTAGAATACATAAAAAAACAATGGTTAACTAAAATTTTGGGTTATATCGGATACCCCACTATTATTTCATTTAATCCATTAGAAGAATCAGAAATCATTACAGGATTCGATTCTGGGAAATTAAAGATTTTTTTACTCTACCCTGACTTAAAATGTATTTATATAATTAGTGGTCATCAATTTTCTCCAAAATGGATAAGTTTCAATAATGAATATGTTCTAACGACATCGGAAAGAGAAGTGATCATTTGGAACATTCAGTATTTTTCTAAATTTAATATTCTTCAAATAAAAAATACTTCAGTGAACATAAAAAAATCTGCTTTCTTATACTCTAGTTCAGTTATTGTATTGTACGAAAATAATGTATTTGAACTTTGGGAATCTAAAACGTTTAATTTGGAAAGAAAAATTTACTTAAAGAATTATGGTTTAAAAAATGCCAAAGATTTTATTACTGCCGAAAATGGTCAAATTATAATTTTTTATAGTATTGAAAAAATTACTGTATTTAATACAAAATCGTGGATATTACAAATAAGTAATATATTATTTTATAAATCAAATGGAATTAAAACCATTACTATTGCACCTTTTCTATCAAATTATCGATACGAAAATATAATTTTAGTAATCTTTAACAATGGAAAATCGACATTTTTTGATTTATTTTCAATGCATTTGATAAAGTCGACAAATTACATTTTTACAAACATTCAAGATGTGATTACATCTGAAAATAATCAATGGATTGCATGGATTCAACGTGATGGTACATTAAACATTAGTAGTTATTGTCGTTTAATAGGAAGAAGAAACAAATCGTGTTTACTTCCAGTGACACAATTTAAATCTGAATTTCACTTGATCAATCACCATTATCGATACGTTCAAAACAACATCATGACAGTTTTAAAATATTCAACACTTAAATCGATCTTGAAGGAATTTAATAAATATCCAAAGCATTATAGAGACATCATTTGGATAAAACTTATGAAACTTCCTGGCAATCAAAGAGAATTTTCTAATTTATGCACTACTGCATTCTATAAAAGTACTGTGACCTTATTAAAGAATTGTGAATCATCTGACAAAAACTATGCGACATCACTTATTTTACTTCGTGATTGCCTTCAACAGGTTTTTCCGTACATTCATCGGACTCTGTCTCTTAAAAAACTAGTAAACCCATTTTTAATGATTTTTAAAAATAATCTTTTGTATACTTTTGAAGCTATTTTAACTATCTTGTTAAATTTTTGTCAGAAATGGTTCGATTATTACCCATTTCCACCATTAAATATTCTTAATATAATAGAAAATATATTAATTGAAATGGACCCGAATTTAATAAGATTTTATTATGATAAAAAAATCACATCACTCCATTACGCTTGGCCACTCTTAAAAACATTAATGAGTGAAGTATTAGAAGAAATTGAATGGCTTACTCTTTGGGACCATTTATTGCTTTATCAAAACTCTTGCTTTCTAATAATGTGTGTTGTAGCGTTCAATATTTATTCGAACCAAAATATTCTTTCATTGCAAAAGAAAGATGAAATTCAAAATTTTTTTAGAAAACAAAATGTTATAAAAGCTAAACACCTTATCTCGCTGTCGTTTTATTTACATTCTAAAATATCATTGAAAAATCATCCGCATCAATATCTCAGGTACACAAACATTTTTTCTTTTATTTGATGTGTTTTCAGAACTACAAATGTAAATAATTTTATAATATCTGTAGAAAGGCTTTTATTGAGTTATCTAATGAAGAATCATACCATAAAATATTGGATGATGAACGTCCGAAGTTTCTCTTCGAAAATGATGAAATAATATATCATCAATCATTTCATCGAAATGTTAACATGAATTGAAATTAGAATTTTAGCTTCATACTCGCATTTCAAGATATCGTGAAGCATATTAAGTAGTTTTCATGAAGATTCACGTGCGCAAATATCTACACTGCAAATTTAAAATAGAACACGCAGTATTCAGCGTATGTACTCGAGTTAAAATCTAACATCTATTTTTATCCTAAAACTGTACTTTTTTGAAGTTTGACTTGAGATGAACAAATCCTAATTAATGTCGAAATACGCAACAAATCAGAGCTTCCGTAGGACAAAATTTTTCAATTTTATTCTGAAATCATACTAATTGGATTCTATTTTTATCCTAAGTTTATTTTTCTGATCTCTTAGTTTCTAACTTTTACTTTATACTTTTCCTAGATTCAACATAATTTTAGTCGAGATTCGAGTAATTTTATTCGAATGGAAAGATTTTTTTATTATAATTATAAATTTTATTTCAACATTGATTGAGTTGTCCATCATTATTAATATTATTATAAGCATCAACATTATTTGTATTTTAAAAAAAATTATTATTATAATATTGACTATGTTTATGTTTGTAAGGGCAGTTTGATTTTCTTTTACTAGGTTGTAACGAATTATTTGCATCAATTTCATTTCTAATAAATATAATTTTTGGAGAATTAAATAATTATATAAATTGTAACTTTATTGTGAATATTTCCAAAAGTCCTACTGAATGTAAGCAAATAAATTTATGAGGTTTAAATTCGGCTGTTCTGTCTACATCTTAATTTTTACCTACTTCAGAAGAATGAAAATAGTATTACTAGAAGGTTCTCTTCTTGAACATTTCTATTAAAAAACTATAAATCCTATAGGCTTTTTCAGAATTTGAATACGAAAAGTTGAGAAATTTTCGCCACTCAGAAAAAATCTAATAGGATTGTACAATTTTGAATAGGTATATAAATGGTGATCGTAAAGCCGATAGAATTCCGAATTTTCCTATAGACACAACTGAATAAGATTATGATGGTTGTAAAAAGTGGTTAGTTATGGGAAACGAAAAGTTTCTATAGGGAATAGAACAAGATATTTGAAAAAGAAACTAAGTGATTAAATAGGATAATACGACTTGGAAATTATTTTTATTATGCATTAAACTTTAATAGGATTTTGCATTATTCAATTGGTTTGACTCCTCTTACATCTGGTAATCAATACCTTTCTTTTATTCTAAGCATTGTTTTAGATAGATAGCGAAATACTAGTGGGGAATATCGTGGTAAAAGAATATCCTCTAAGTTACATTTCCCTTTTCAATCTATTCATTCCCGTATAGAAATTCGGAGAAAACATTGGTGTGGAAAAATATCAAGTCCTGTTGAGAAATATTTTCATTAGAAAACACTAATAGTCCAACAGCAGTATGGAAAATCCATATGCTGGTATGCATTAATTTTAAAAGTTGAGTTACACTTTGTAATACTTTAATGCTTTAAAATACTTGCTAGGTAGCACACTTGATTAATGTTTGAATTGTTTTAAATTTTCAACTGAAACAGATTAGGCGAAAACTATGTTTCCATCTTTTAGAATAGCGTCGTCAGCAGATTACTGGGCTGTGGACCCAAGGATGTTAGGATCGAATCTCGCCATACACAAGATTTTGTATTGGAACCCGAATCGAAAAAAATAAAAATCGATACGCGTACTACAAACGACGTGAATGATTGTAATAACCTTTATTCATTTGTAGTCCTGAAAAATCTTGAAACATCATTGAACGATGTTGTTTTTCCTATAGAAATTGATTTAATCCTATTCAGATGTCTCAGTGAAGTACGCTGAATCCTATTCAACTCCCCAATAAGATTTGATATTATTCAATTGGTATATTGTTGTCTCAGAATTTCCTATAGAATAATGCAGAATTGAGAGATTACAGTTTCTTCATTAAAAAGAGGCAATTCCTTTTCGATGCTTTAATAGGATTTGATATAATTCACTGGGAATATTTTTGTCTCAGAATTTCCTCTAAAATTAAGGGTAAACCTATTGATCATTTCAATAGGATCTTATTACCACAAAAAAAATTCTTTTAAACGAAAGGAAATTTGAATTCGCTCTAGAGGTTCTTTGAATATACGAATTTGTTGTACAAATATACACCTGGAATCAAATTTATTTAAAACTTTGTCTGAAAAAATCCTGATTATGGTGAGATTCGATCCTGGCATCCTCGGGTCCACAAGTCCAGTACGCTGCCTCAATAAGATTCTACATTCTTTCATAGGTTTGACCTCTCTAACATTCTATTAAGGTTTAATGTATGATGAAAAAAGTTCATTGTTCAAGTTCACCAAATCTAAGACCTGAAGTTGGAAAAAGACAGTTAGCTTAGCACCGATTTTATAGAGCTAATCGTTTTGTTAAATTGAGTATTGACGAACAAGTTATGTGCAAGAATTATAGACGTAACTCTTGGGAATTAGCTACAGTTGTTGCACGAACGAGTGCAGTTACTTATGATATTAAGACTGAAAATAATGTACTAGTTAAGAGGCACATTGACCAATTAAAAACGTGCAAGCTTGAGTAACCTAGTCCTTCAGACACAGAAATGTTAGATCACGATGCTAGAATGAGTATAGCTAAAGATGTAAATGTTAGTCAAGTAGAAGCTGATCTTGCGCAAAAGAGTGATAATACTGTACAGCTACCTAATAACTTGTTTAATCAAAATCAAACTAATAATATTACTGTACGTTCTGGAGAGAACAGCAATACTGACTCTATTAATACTGGTACAAGTATAACCTCAGCGACTTAACTTATAAATATTTTTGTATCTCAAGCATTATATGTCTTACTATACGATTGTCATTATTATGATAGCTATAAATGTAAGGGGAAAAGAGTGTGAATTTGAACGGGTTCCAATACTTATATATAGAGGGCTATAGCAGTTTCTTCCTTAAAACGATCCTCAGGGTCCACCGATTATTATTCGGCCATGTAAGAGCCTACACTAAAGAGCTACGTTTTGTATTAACTATTGTTCCCTAGAACTTTCGATAATACCGGTCACTAACATTACAGAGAAAATTTTCACGAGAAAAATGATGACATTACACCGAAATCATCACCCGCGATTTTGTGTTTACATCAGCATTGCCATGTTTATGACCAGGTCTATGTTGAACTTCGAAATCATATTGAAATGAGATTTCAAAAAGTGAACCTCTCGCCAAGAATAAAATGACCAAAATGTTCAACAGAAATAACAACAGCTAATAATTCTTTCCTAGTAACACAATAGTTACGTTCACGATTATTTAAAGTCTTACTAAGTAAGCAATAACTTTTTCTTCATAAACAGTCACACCATTTCTATTAACTGGAATCTTTTGAGATAACACAGCACCAATGCCAACATTTGAAGCATCAGTATCAAGAATAAAAGGATAATTTGGATCAGGATAACCCAAAATTGGAGCAGAAGTCAAAATTTGTTTCAATTTTTGAAACGTTTGAAGAGTTAAATCATCCCAAATAAAATCCTTCTTTTCCTGACTAATGAGATATAAAGGTTTTGCAATAGTAGCCAAATCTTTGACGAATTTCCTATAATAAGAACAAAGACCTAGAAAACTTCTAAGTTCAGATTAATTTTTAGGAACAGGCCAATTAATAATAACATAAATTTTATCTGGAGAACTTTTCAGTCCTTCACCAGAAACTACATGTGCGAGGAAAATAACTTTTTTTTGGAAAAATATACATTTCTTAGGATTTATCTTAAGAGAAGCTTGTAAAAGTCTTTCAAAAATATTTTGAAGATGAATAAAATGTTTATTTAGACTTTTACTGAAAATAATAATATCATCCAAATAAACTAAACAAATTTTACCGAGAAGACCTTCTACAACTATGTTCATAACCTTAACGAAGGTAGCAGGAGCATTACACAAATCAAAAGGACGAACCTTAAATTGCCAAACCTCATTCCAAATACAAAAAGCAGTTTTAGATCTATCCTCCGGAGCAACTTGCCAATATCCACTTTTTAAATCAACGGTAGAAAACCATTGAGCACCAAGAACCATATTCAATATGTCTTCTTGATGAGGAATTGGAGTTGAATCCTTAACTGTAACATCGTTTAATTTACGATAGTCAACACAAAATCTAATTTCATCACCTTTTTTTGGAACAAGAACAACAGGAGAAGCCCAAGGATCATTACAAGGTTCTATTGCATTCTGTTGTTTCATTTCTTCCATAACTGAATCAACTTTGTCCCTATAATGTAGAGGAATACGACGAGGAGCCTGTTTAATGGGAAGTGCATTTCCAACATTAATTTTATGTTGTAAAATTCTGGAAGTTTATTCGAAGAAAAACTAATTTTATTAATTGAAACAACTTTATTTCTTTCTAAAAATTTTTTATCAAAAAGATCTTTGAAATCAGTAAATGAACCAGACTTGATTAAGAAATCTAATCCTAGAATACATTCTTCTTCAATTTCAGCAAAAACAACCTCTAAATTAACCTTAATATTGGAAATCTTTATTTCTACAGTCTCGATAAAATCAAAATCAAATTTATCACCTGAAACTGTAAAAATAGAATAAGAAATAGAAGAATTATTCGAAACAGTTACCATCCCTTTAAACAAAGAAGAATTAACAACCGTAATATCAGCAGCAGGATCAACTGTCATAATACATTTTTTGCCATTAACATCTCCTTCAAGTGAAAGTTTCGGTTCAGAACCAGAAGAATAAGAAAAATCAATTAAATTACTTTTTAGTTTGGACTAAATTTTTTTTTGGACGAACCTTCACCAGTAGACTTATTAGAATCGCGAATATTTGATAAACTAGTTTGAACAGTTTAAAAAACTTTACAATTCTTTTTAAAATGTCCTTTTTCACCACAAATCCAACATTGGAAAATTTGCGAATAATTTTGATTTTAAGAATTTGACCTAAAATTTCCTTTAAACGGATTATTTCTATAATCTTTTTTAAAATTATGTCTAA